CATTGGCCCGCCGCCACGGATCAGCGACGGGGAGAGGTCGATGTTGAAGCGCGCGGAGCGGTCGAGCAGCTCCGGCGGCGGCGCCGAGGCGTCGCCTGGCGCGCCAGTCGCCGGTGCGTCCCCGGCTGGTGCGTCCACGGCTGCGTCCACGCCGCCCGGCTCGGTGGTGCCGTCACCGGAGATGTAGGAGACGAGGCGTGGTGCGTGGGGAGTGTGCGTCACTCGCAGTGGCTGCGAGGAGTCGGGTTGGGCCACCTCGTCTCCGGGAGGTGCGCCAGCGGACGGGTCCATGCGTTGCGCGGCTTCGCCCGCGGCCGCCTCGCCCCGCAGCCACGCAGAGAAGTCGCGCAGCGAGAAGGTGGCGTGCCGTGCGCCGTAGAAGAGGTTTGCGTCGAGGTGGAGCACGGACTTCCCCGCGCGTGCACACGCAGCTGCAAGCACCGACTCGGTGAGGCCCGTGCCGATGACGACCACGTCGAAGGAGGAGGGAAGGGAGGACATGGAAGCGGCGAATTCGGCGGTGTGAAAATGAAGAATTTTACGCGGGGCAGGATGTCATCCCCCGATCGATCCAGACTGCCCACATGGAAAGAAAGAAAGAAAACAGACAACCCAAGGGAGGGATGGGAGGACGGCACGCCGCCACCACACAGGGATACTGTCCCGTTTTGCTGTTCACAGCTAGGGACGGCCTCTGCGGCAAAGTCAACTCACCCCCACCTACCACCTACCACCTCCCACCACGGCTAACCTTCGGCTCCCGCTCAGAGGCGCCCCGCGCCCGTGCGGCGCGCCGAGGCGGCGCCAAGGCCGGCGCCTTGCACCCGGCCCGCGGCCGGCACCGCCTCGCCCCACAACTGACCGCCCTGCGGCCCCTGCGCAGGCGTACCACAGGCGTCGCTCAAAAAGCGACGCCGGGTGTGGGCTGCTCCCTTGACCCGTCACCCGCCGCGCCCTCGCCCGGCCGCCTCACCGCTCACGGAGCGTGCTCGCCGCCGCCGCCGCGCGTCCCGCGCCGCCACGCATGCCCCTTGCCCTGACGCGCGCGCTCTGCAGCGGCAGAGCGCGCGTCTGTCACAGACGGAGCAGCGGCCGCGCCAGCGGTCGCTGCTCCGCCCCCCCGTCGCGCGCGCCGCGCGCGCGCTGCCGCCGCCGCCGCCGCCGCCGCCCCCTCCTCGCCGTCTTCCCCACCCTACCCTCTGTTGCGCGCGCCGCGCCGCCGCGCTGCGCGCCCCCGCCCCCGCCCCCGCCCCCGCCCCCGCTCCCAAGCGCCCCTTCCCCGGTAGGTGTGCGTAGAAAGTAGAACCAATCGAGAGGTGCAGAAGCCGCCGTGGG